GCTGGCAAAAGGAAAAAAAATAACCATGTTTTCTGGTACAAAGATACTCACAGAATCCTACTTCAAGGGAAAGAAATGCCCAAAAACCAAAATGCCATAATATCAAAAGATAGTAAGATCATAAAATTAAAATCAATATTTAATTTAGATCTTCATATGCTAGAGACTACTAGGGTTATTTGGGAATGTGAAATCGTAAGATCTTTGAAGTTTAGACCTAGATGTAGGCTACCTTGGATAAGACAACCTTCAAAACAACAAAGAAACAAACCAAAAGAACATAGAGAAGATAAAGGACCTAAAGGACCTAAAAGATAACAAAGCTATCCTATCTCTCTGCATATAACGAGTGGAATCAGCTTTTGTTTTTGTCCCTTTTTTTTTTTTTGGGTCTACACTCCAAGGAGAAACTTTGAACACAACCCTACAGGGAAGGTAGGAAAAATAAGTATATGCTTTATCCAGGAACTTTCAATGCCAATGCCTTTGACGTTTTCTCCTTTGCAAACAAGCAACAGCCAAATGTAAAATCATGGTGACTGGAGAAAGCATGCAACAGAGGGGAGAGGCAAGAAAAAGGGAAAATTATCAAATGAAAAAAAAGGAAAGAAAAAAAACTGGCCATAAGCTACTCCAATAATTTCAAAATCAATGAATTCTCACCATGTTATTTGAGTCATGCTGATATCATTCAACCCAGCATCCTGGAGCAACCTGGAGAAAAATCACAACGATAACAATAAACAAACACCAAATGGAACTGCAAGAGATTATGAAGACTATAGGACCAATTATGCAGTCAACTTCAGTTAACTTAGGATCTGTGTTAGTTAACCAACTGATTATTGGTATTTATTCAGCTTGTAGATTGAGAAGGGAAAGGCTTGAAAGATCAAGCAAATTCTAAGGTCAAGCCAGCAACGAAGACAGAGATATAATTCCAATATACAAGGTAAAGGATATGGTCTTAGGTGTGGCTCAATCATGAATAAGAATCTGTGCAACTATTACCATATCAGAGTATAATCAGAATGATGTGCTAATCCCATGAAGTAAACATCTAAGGTAAAAGCTCTTAAGAAGATCCACATTGCAGTAATAATCCATATGGCGTTTCAATTCTCCATTTCTACAGTGTACTAGTGTTTAATTCCGCCGATCTGCTACTGCTATTGGACATCCCCCCACCTCCCCAAAAGAAGGGAAAAGAAAAGAAAGAAGGAAAAGCTTCCCAGTGATTTAAAAGATCTCATCTTCTATAAAGTCCTAGACTAAGGCAGAAATAATTGCTCTAAAATCACTTTGATGAAGAAGCTGATATAAATTAGGTAAAAGAAAGCTAGAGCCCCATTGTGCGAACAGACACTACAAGGGTATGAGAAATTGGAGTTGGAAATCAGACGAGCAAGAGACATTAACTATCTTCTAAGTCAGCTGAATGCTAGATCTATCTTCCCCGCCACCATAGTTGTAGGCAAACTTCAATCAAGGACATATATGACATGCTCTTCTAGACCTAGCTAGCTCTGTTTCTAGAATTTAAATTTCAACAAAAAGACTAAATGTGTCATTGAATCATCTAATTACAAAATTACCAAGGATTTAATTTAACAAATAAAGGGTCAGATTCGAAGGGTTATTTGCATATTTTACCTTAATTTGAAGAGGTGTGTTTGTAAAATAAACAAGTAAGCTGATCAATTACTTACTGAGACAATGAACGATAAGGGTGGAAAACAACCAAGTAATAGTTAAGTGCCTCCAAAATCTTCATTTCCATTTCAAGTATGTCCTTGATCTCAAATCGGTACTTGTCATCAGAATCTGCAAAAACAATAATGTTGTCATTTCAGCAAAATGGGCATTTTTAATGTTAAAGAGAAGTTTCAAGATAAAAATAACTCACTTTTCACTTTAGAACTAGCCAGGAGAGGGGGGAAGAGGGGGAGAAGGAGAAATAAAGTAAGTGCTCACATAATTTTTTAATGTAAAATACAAGCAACCTAGCCTGCACTGTGCTTTCTTCTGCTTTTGATGCCAGGTACAAGCAGGTTGGAGCCACCAGACGTGGATCATACTCACTCATACTCTTTCTGAAAGTGCACGTGCAGTTAGGACTTTATACTCTCGGTGGGCTTGAATAAAAAATGTAAAATAGAGCAACCCAAAAAGCCAGACAAAGCACAAAGGCATTCAAAACTTCTAAATCAAAATGTCAATTCAAAAGTAGGAGATTGAAACAACTAATGAGGAAACATAAATTCAGGAAAAAGGATTGTGATGGAAAGCAACTGCAGAAAGATAAATATGTTTTGCAAAATGACTAGAAGCATATCTATAGATAAGAGAGAGTATGAAAAGGAGCGCTGGTTTCCCACCATTGAAACCACTTAAGTGCCTTGCCTTCTAGACCAACGGCCAAAATTAGTTTCTCTTCCTCCTAAATACCATCACCCACATGAATAACTCTTAACCTTAAACAACCGCCCGATAGGGTCCTTACCAGGGAATATAGGTAGCACCCAGTGTCAGTACTCAACCATCATAACAGACACATTTTGAGTCACCTACACAAGATGAGTCATGTCTTTTAAGCTCGTCAATGAATTTTTGTTAAGCACCAGCCATCAACTTCCCCCTAGATTTGAATTGATGACCATCCAATCCTAGCGGGTCGTAAGGCCATAGCATTACTGTCTTGACTAACATTAAGGGGCCGTTGAATTGGAAGAATGTATTTAGAAGGAAAGGAAAGGAAAGGAAGAGAAAGGAAAAATGCCAACTGCTGACACATTTGATAAATTTATAATTACCAAACGTTTAGAAGGAAATAGAAAAGAAAGGATGGAAAGAAAGATTTGGCACGAAATGGAAAGGAAAATGGCTTGATGGGTAAATTTATGTTTGGTTGGATGAAATAATCATGTGATGGAGAGAAAGTCAATATGAATGACTATAGTACCTTTATTATAAAAGTTTTATAAAACAATTGACTTTAATTATGATCAATACTAAGATATATTAATATATTTATACTTTAAAATCATTAATAATTAATAAATTGTAATAAAACAGGTCGTTTAGTTCAAAATACCTATTTTAGTCATTATTATTAATATTAATAATAAAATATGTCAAAATAATTATTTATAACATCATTACCATTAAAACATAATAAAAGAAGTCGTTTTAATTATGAATAATAAAGAAAATTATTTTTTATTAAAAAATTCATTTCTATCTTTTTATTATGAAAATTTCCAAATTAATAATTATTAAAATTATATAACTAAAATCTAAAACCACTAGAACTTAAAAATAAAACAGAGAATAAAAAACAAACAATATAAGATACAATGATATTAATAATGTAACTGCAGTAGCTGGTGTAAGCAATATCTCACACTGCCCCTCAAGTCTGAATACCTTGTGTAAACACGTCTCATGTATGTAACTGCAGTAGCAACAACCCTGAAAGATTGACCAAAATATTAATGATTGCAGTGACATTTTGCACAAAAAAGACAAATGATATTACATGAGATTTTCACTTACAAAATCCTCTCAATTTTATCAAAATCAAGAATATAGTAGAAAAATCATTTCAAATCATTTTACTTGATAAAGGGATATAACTTAAGTTTGACATGCATGTAAATTCAAGCAATGGATAGAGAAATTCTTCTGAGATGATCTATCATAATATGTCAGAGTTTCTACCCTTTCAACCATCATTTCACAAGTGTATCATGGTTGCTTTTTTAAATTTGATGACCCTCACATTAGCATCCATTTCATTTAAAGTGATATAAGAGAGTAAAATATATTAAGTTCCTAATCTACTCCAACCCCGACACAAGACACAACCTTTAATTGCCTTTACCACAAATGAAACAACTTAAAAGCAAAAACGACAGTTAACTGTATATAAATTAACAGGGTCAAAATAATATACTCAATTATAACAATTGTCAAACCACCCAGTAAGGCGGCATACTCAATATTTATCATGTTCATGTCCCCATTAACTTCTTGTTCAGTTACTTCACTCATGTATCCCCCACCCTTTTTCAAGGGGTTTCAAAATTCAAACATGACCTACTTTGACAAAAAATCGTCAAGGAGAAATTCAAGCATTGAAGAAGTATATGAACAGGGAAAAAAAGGAAAGAAATATGAAGCAAAAACAAAGAAGGAACAGAAGTTTAGCTATTCCTCACACCAAGGCCTCTTCTTCAAAATAGAATCTCCCCTTGAAATGGAATGAAACTAAAACAATTCCTCCACAGTATAAATATTTACATAGAAATCTACAATATTTTACTATTGTTGATATACAGCTGGAATTACAAAATCTTAAAATAGACAGTAATTTTAAAAAAAGAAGAAACAAGAGCCATAGCTTATAACAGAACAGTATAGACATCTTTTATATGTTCGTCTTATTGAAACAAATGTAGAGTGTAACTTTACTGCAAGTTTGATTGATGAAAGATCGCATTAATCCAAACAAGGGAAAAAGGGAACTACTGATTACTTAATTACCATTGACAGCAGGCAGTCAAACTCTACAGTCTACCCCACATCATATGTTTCCATGTTGAACATCACATATCTTTAATTTTTTTTTTGTATTAAATGAACTCATGTGATTAACAAGGATTAGATCAAAACAACCAGCTACCATGTATCCCTAAAATTTTCAATGATGACTTAGTCTTGAACCAACACGCAATAGCAACAAGCTTGATTCACACAAAGGTTGTCATATGCATAATATTCAAGTATTGGAATTCCATGATAACATGCACAAAGCAGTGAAGACATTAGCAATGCTCTAAGAGATCAGCATACAAATGGTCTTGGCCATGAAGTGACAAAGTTGCACAAATTCAAGCATGTAAGGTAACAAACACAAGGATCAAAAGCATGAAAAAAATCCAGCACTGAAGTTCTTTTACATAAAGTGAAATAAAATAAAAATGTCCAAACTATTCTCAATGAAATTATTAGGCAAACTGTGACAGCATAAGCAGATTAAAAAAAAGTAAAGATTGGGTAATTCAGCTCGCACCTCTGCCTAACTTTAACATTTTGAGCCAATTTTGAGATATCTGCACAGAGAAGAAAAAGAAGCAGAAATTCATTAGAAGTAAACAATGACAGATCAAGCTAGCAAATAAAATAGTGTCATGAAATTCATACTAACTCCTTCTCATGGTTTATTTTGACTAAGAAGCTAGGGAGAAAATAGAGGAGTTCAAAATTTTCAAATAACTATCTATTAACTTAAACTTCTATTTTTTAGGGTGAGGTTTGGAATACCAAAGAAACCAAACAATTGTTTTCCCATACCAGACTCCATAAATTTCTTTCAAAGTCCCAAACACTAGAATAAGCAAAGAAAATCCATAGAAGACTTGAGTGACTTTAGGGAATAGTGATCAATACGAAAGTTTCCATCAGAAATAGAGATCAGTCCATTACACACAAACCAAAGGCTGTTAACATCAGCAAAAACAGCTAGAGCTAACTGTGAAGTTAGCATCAGTCACCATATAGCAAGTAAAATAACAATAGCGAAAATGAAAATTTAAACAAAAGCTGAAATGAAATGCTGACAGAACAAAAGAGAATCAAATTGCACATGGACCTCCGGGATTACAGAAAGACAAGGATAGACAGGAAAGGGGAGCTTACAATTAGCCATGTGCATCTTTATGAGCTTAAAATCCTCAAGTGTGATACCCTTTTCCTTGTCGAGTGGGTTTACCCTATCCACATCTTCTTGGTCTACAAGCTGCTTACTGCAAGGTGCATAGCCAAACCCTATCAATAGATGGCATAGGAGAAGAGGAAGGGGCGGGCGAACAACAGAAGGATAGAACAAAGAATAGAAAGATATTGGAAATGAAACATACTAATGAGACGATGTCCAAAAGTTGGTAGCCATTTCTTCCGCAGAAATTATAGAAACGCGGTATGAGGAAATGAGGATAGAAAGGCTCTACAATATAAAGCAAACAATTAAAACAGGAAATACCACAATGATTATACCAGTTATTTCAGAAGGACCCAGCACTTCACTGATCTAGATGAATTGACATGCTAATAAAATAAAAGAAACAATATTACTGAGTTCGAGCAAAGGATACGAATGAAATAAGAATAGGCCTCGATTACCCTGTCAGGTGTTTCCGTTTCCTTCATTTTTTTTTTTAAATTTGAAAAACGAAAACGGGGAAACAAAAGAGTAAAGTGCAAATTTCAGTTATACAGATAAAGAGAACTTCCCAAAACTGAGCGAAAGAATGCTATCAGAAGACACCAGCAATACTCGGATGTAAAGAACCCAGAAATTAATGAACAAAGAAAGACAAAAACAAAATACCAATATCAACGTTCTCTATACAGGAAATTGAAGGATCCAAACAATCTGCTGAAGATTAAATTTCCCTGAATCTATCACCAATTAATCTCCTCCGAGTTATGAAGACTATTGACTACGGCGACCATCAATCAGTTGAGAAGGGGCCAAAGAAAAGGAACAGAACAAGCCGCTCAAGACAAAGCAAATCAGAAAAACAGGCACAGTTGAGAAACCAATTAACTTGCAAATGGACCAGAACAAAACAAAACAACTGTCATTAGCTCGACGATGAAATATCTGCGACTTCCTATGGAATATGGATTGCGCATTCCCAAAGCTTGATAGAAAAAATGAGTATTAAAGACCTCCAATAACACAAAGACCAAAATACCCTGTATTAAAAGGGTGTATATATATATATGTATGTATGTATGTATAAAGTATAAACCAAGCCCATTTGTTTACCATCGTGGAAGGCGTAGTTCCCGTCGTTCCTCGCCACAACCGTCGAGAAGACAAGAAGTCCGACGAAACACATCGTTCCCTCCAAGGAAGCACTGCAACAAGTTGAAGCACACGGTAGAAGAATAAACTCGATCGGGTTCACCAAACAGATCAGATCAGAGGAAGCGCAGAGAAAGAGTCAGATTGAGAGATGAGATACTCAGACTTGAAGGAGATCGACGGAGGAGTGAGGAGGCGCTTCTCCGACGACATAACGGTGACAGTTTTGTTTTGTATCATTGTATGTGAATTCTAAGCTCATCAGGCGCACCCTTGGCTTCCATTTCTACTTCATTTAACCTCTCTTCTCTCTCTTTCCTAGTTAGATGAATTGATCTGCAAAAATCATCTAAAGTATCCAATCAGTTCTCTTGAAAGCTAAGCCTATTTCGGAGCTTCCAAGAGTTTTTTGAGCAATTTATTACGGCGGAGGCAAATAAGATTCTGATAAGTGAGGGCGTTGATTGTTCTTCCACTTCCTCTATTCTATTCATTAGTTTCCTTCTCTTATGATTTGAGAATTTCGTACTGTTAACGTGTTTAATTTCTTTTGTGTGAAGCTCAATCATGGATGTGGAGAAGTCTAATTAGCCATAACGATTGACTTTCTCTTTATTCTTCGGTTTGATCCATCAATTATATTTATCTTTATTCGCTTTTTTCGTTGGATTGTAATTATGGCTAAGGTGGTGGAAATAGGTCATGCTCTAATAGGAATTTATGACTTGGCTTTCAAGTAAACCTTGCCTGTTTGTTAAATATGCCCAAGTTAGTTTAGATTTTTAATTTGGCATGTTTAATTAAATAAATTAAACTTAGTTTTATAAGGTTTAATTTATAAGCCTAGTAAGCCAGCTTTTATATATATATAATTTATATACACATTATTATATTTTTTTTATTTTTAATTATATTTTCAATCATATTAAATTTATATATTAATTTTAATGTCATTTTTTTGTTTTTGTATTATAGTTGGTAAATCATCTTAATTAGTATGGGCTTGTTTGGATAATTCTCAAAAGTATATTTAAATCACATATGAGATGTCATTTTGTCAAATCCAATTAATAGTTAGATCATCGAAATAGATTTTTACTAAATGTAAATTAAAAATCAAATGCACACTATGTATTGGAATTGATAAATCATATTATATAAATGTAAATTTTAATAGTCTTAAAATAAATTTAAGACGTTTAAAATTAATATGTAAGTTTATTTAAAAGATTCCCATTAAAATAAACTTTTAAATAAACTTCAAAATTAAGGTGGGCTTTAGATAAACTCATACTTGAGTCGTGAAAAATAATATTATACAAGTTTCAAGTTAAGTTTAGGCCTATTTGGTTAAAAGCTTAATTCAGCCTAATCTATTTCTATCCCTATGTTTTGCCACCATTATATGTGGGTATGTATGTTTGGTGAAGAGCAAATCTAAACTTAGAAAGATGAATGTAAATAAGAGTCAAGAGAGGGCTTTTAGATTCATCTTGACTTAAATTATAATTTCAAGGCTTAATTAGATAATTGTGTTAGATGAGAGTGAATTTGAATCTAATAAATATGAAGCTAAATCAAAAGGTAATTAGAACACATTCCTAATGGTTGGCACTATAGTTGCTTAAGATCAATTAAATGAGTGAGAATATGTCATCCCATAATGCATATCCTGAATTTTGATATTAATTAGATAATTGAGTTAGACAAGAGTGAATTTGAATCTAATAAATATGAAGTTAAATCAAAAGGTAATTAGAACACATTCCTAATGGTTGACACTATAGTGCTTAATATCAGTCAAATGAGTGAGAATATGTCATCCCATAATGTAAATCATGAATTTTGATATGCTCTATTGATTGGAATAACTCACAGATTATCATATTGCTTTTACAATTATTAGTTGCAATTTTAGTTCTTTAATTTAATTTCTCTTCGCAATTATGTGTGTGTGTGTGTTTATGGAATACTATGGATTAATTCTCTATTGCCATGAGCATTCCCGTGTACTTGCAAGACCAATCAATAACAATATTTACTATTTTATCTTCGCATAATTAATATATTATAAAAAAAATCATAATATAAATAAAATGAAATTAAAAAATGAAGCTAACTCACCACATATTTCACAACTTACCCCACCAGCTATTTGTGTACAGAGATTTGCAAACAACCTCTTCAATTTTTGTCGTTTATTATAAGTTTGGAGTTTAACAAAGCTTTACACAAATTAACCCAACCAAAAAAGAATGGATGAGAGAAAGGAAAAAAAAAAAAAAAAACTAAACATTGCTAGACGTATATAATACACCATATACACACGCACACAGCACGTGCATACAATACAGTTTAGTGAAACTCACCATTTGAAAATTTAGTTGAATGAAAATGGTGTACTGCTAATTAAAGGGAAAATATTCTCTCATGCTCCCCTCCTCCTAGTTTTATTCTTGCCCTTGCACGGGCAGAATTTTTTTTAGTTAAGACTCGTTTAAGAAAATTTGTCACGATAAAGGTTGATAAATTTTGCATCAGATTTGTTATGTGAAAACAAGTATATGGTGTTATTAAAAGTTAAACCTTAATTTATTTTTTTGTTAGGATTTTCTTAGAAACTTAACAAGTTAATATTTAGTTTTTAATAACATATACATGCTTTACAAGACAGTATTTTAATATAAAACAAAACTCATAGACCTTTGTTGGGATAAATTTAAAAGGCCTTGAATGTCATTGTCCCTTTATTTTTCTTTTATCATTGATCACTTGTCCATGTGATCGAGGGCAAGATGAGTACCAGTAGGAACCTGTTCCAGTGGTTAAGATGTTTTCGACAATAATTGATATTGATGAGGTAAACATCGTGGGGTTAGAACAGCTTCCAATGGAGTTGCCTTGGGCAAAGTAATGCTTGTGCCTTCTTTCATGTCCACTGGTTCACCACCTACGTTCACCAACTCAAACCCTTGAAGCAAACGAGCTAGACTCAACACACTTACTTGCACTGCTAAATTCGAACCAGGACAAGCCCTTCTTCCAATCCCAAAAGGAAGGTACTGAAAATGGTGACCTTCATTGTCAATATCTCCATTCTCTGTGATGAACCTCTCAGGCATGAACTTTTCAGGCTGTGACCAAATGGTTGGGTCTCTGTGGAGCTTCCACACATTAGCTAATACTCTGGTGCCTTTTGGGACGTAATAGCCACAGATACAACAGTCTTGTGTTGCTTCATGGGGGACCAAGAGAGGACCTGGTGGGTATAATCTTAGGGTTTCTTTGACAATAGCTTGAAGGTAAATTAGGTTTTTGATATCTAAAGTTTGGACCCATCTTTGTTTGCCCACGTGATGATCGACCTCCTCTTGGGCACGCTTTAGGACGTGTTTGTTGTTCAATAGTAAGGCTAGCATCCATGTCAAGTTGATGGAGGTTGTGTCTGCCCCAGCTAAGATCAAACTCTAAATATTCAAATAAACCTTATATCAGGATCTTCGAACATGTCCGGTGGCTAATAAAGAAAATGTTTTACTTACATTTAAAATAAGGCACATGCATAATTGCAAATATGATAGATTTGAATTATATACTTCCTTTGATCTTTAGTATGAGACAAAGTTAATCAAATGTACACTTGCTAAAAAACGTTAGTTATATCCTTAAGATTATACACACACACACATATATATACACATATAACTTTTCAATTTTGTTATTATTTGCAATCAATAACCATAATAAATTATTGTCTTGGAATTCAAGCTATATAAATAAATGATGGTAAAATTGAAAAAAAATTAATTACTCTAATTTTGTTCCCTATTAAGGGTAAAAAAAAAGAGCTTTCAAAGTTTGTCTTATATTAATAATGATCCTATATAGCAAAGGTTTAGATTATTTAGGCGTGAGATGATAATACCCCCAAATTTCCTAGAATTTGGGTGATGGAATAAAAAAGTTTTATACTTTTTCTTCTCTTTATTATAAAGTAACGCTACTTACCTCATCAAATACCTTATATTAAAAATTAAAAATTCCTTTTAGAAGACATCATATAATAAGAACGGGAGTACTAAGAAAGTAGTGGGCATATCAAGTATAATAAAGTTAATCTTAATTGGATAGGACAAGATAAGATTTATTAAAAAGATTCATGAGGTCCAAAGGCTACATTAATTCTCCACCAAAATATTTATTGACCGGTCAATCCCACTGTATAAAGAAGGCAATAATTACTAGTTTTAACAGTAATAATATTAATAATAATACTAACAACAACAACAACAACAACAATAATGGGCTTTTGCCCCTTATCAATAATAACAATAACAATAACAACAACAAATTTATGTTTGACTTAAATTGCACTTGTTGGATCTCTTTCCTCAATTATTGTATAGTCATACTTGTAGGGATCTCATTTTTTTAGAAATTAATTATTTAGTATTTTTGTCAATTATTACCTGTTATTGTTATGGGTAGGCTGTGCGCTACAAACCCAGAGATCCTTATATATCTATATTTTGGGGTAATATTGATTCAAGTAAGGCTTCTTAATGCTACTCCTAGACAAACATGGCCACTTTAAGATCTCCAACTCCTTGTTACATCAACCCATAGATCATTATACGTAGTGAGATGGCTCATGCACACTCATGGATCATGGTCAAATTTTTTTATGCACAAGTTCCTAAAGAGATAAGTACATGGCATACTTAAATCTTTATATGATAGAAGTAAAATACTATTGAATCAAACTTTTATAAGAGAAGAGAGGATTTACAAGAGAGATATGGAGAAAACACACTAATTCTTATTCCTTAATGGATGATCCTTACAAACTCTACCTTATCACATGACCCAAACTCCCTTTTATAGATAAAGGGAGGAAAAAGACGAAACACACCATTATTACGTGCTTGTTAGTTTTTCTTAAAAGTAAAGTAGAAGTAACTAAAAGTAAAAGCAAAAGCAAAAGTAAAAGCATCTTTCTTACAAGCTGACTTGACTAATGTAAGGCATCTTTTGATAAAAGCTAAAGTAACTTTTGACAAATACAAAAGCAAAAGTTACTTTTCTAAAGATCACTTGACAAATACTTTTCCACACATGATAGAGGATGAGACCTCATCACTTTATATGCTTAAAGATACATTCTTGATCAAATGAGAGGTTAGAATACTAGCTTTCTTCTTTTATAAGGTGCCATGTTGGGTTGTCTTCTTCCTACTCTGCCACTTTATCTTATTATTCCTTAGACTATCTTAGGGTGAAAGAGACATTTGCTGTAAAAAATTATTGATAAAATTGAGACTCTATCTCATATGAATTTTAGCTATTTAGAGGAGCAAGTGTTCTCCCTTCCTCTTCTCAGAAATTAACCCTAACTTTCCCTAGTAGGGTAGAGAGTAGAACCCTTTAAAGCCTAATTTACTTAAGACAATGTACGCTAATAGTATAGCCTAATTGACCCAACTCAACGGTACTAATGTTGCCCACTTCTTTACTTTATAGGAGAGTTGTAGGATTGAACCTTAGGGGTGTGCGTTACACCAAATCCTTGAGCATTCGATCATTGGGAAGGTTTTAGGAAGGATGTACTACTAGCGTATGCTATCCTGAGTAAATTAGGCTCAAAAAGGTTCTACTCTTCGCCCTACTAAGGAAACCTAGAGGTAAACTCTGAGTTCAGTTTAGTGGTACCAATGTTACCTACTTCTTTGTTTTATAGGAGAGGTTGTAGGATTGAACCCCAGGGGTGTGCGTTACACTAAGCCCTTGAGAATTTAATCATTGGGAAGGCTTTGGGATGATTATACTACTAGCGTACCCTGTCTTAAGTAAATTGGGCTCTAAAGGGTCCTACTGTTTGCCCCACCAAGGACACCTAGGGGTAAACTTTGAGAAGAGGGAGGGCAAACAAGAAGTTCTAGGTCTTGAGATGGCTAGGCTTCATGGATTATAAAAGCTTATTCCATCCATGTAAAGTATACTTTCAGTAAAGTAATATTAGCAACCCATCCTAGCATATGAATTTCTAGAGCTGGAGGATCATTTGGGATGACAGGCTAAAATGGAATTAAACCAAGTGAAATACACTGAAGATTTGGGTTTATGCCTATAAAGTTGTTTAAATCACAAAAAAAAATCTTTTAACTCAAATAAAACTTCTTTTTCATGCGATGGCTAATTACAAGAGGATTTTTATAAATAGTTTTAATTAGCTATATAAAGATTCCCTTGATGATCCAAATTGTAAAGACAGTGGACAATGAAGAAGGGATAAACCTTCTGCTTATTTAATGGTACCTTCCATAAGACAAAAGATTCAATGACTTGATAAAGTTCCTAGTGTCGCAAGAATTAGGGGGAAAACTAATTTCTTTGGCACAGTGTTATAAAGAGAGGTTGATGGTAAGAGGGTGTTATGAATTGAACTCTTTTCTGAGGTACAATCAAGTAATCTGCAATGGTGTTATAGCTTCCCTTTATATGATGAATTGTGAATTTATAGCAAGAAAATCAATCTTTTTTATCGAAGGAGTTAGGCTTCAAGAAATATCTTTTTATTTTGACCAAAGATTTTAGGGAATGACATGTCCATTTCTGCCATAAAGTGATAGGGCTGACATGAAAGCTAAATTTTTTTAGTGCCATATTTAACAGCCAAGACTTCTTTGTAAGCTATATGATAATGCTTTCCAAAGGTTTTGAATTCTCTGTTAGCATGACCACAATAATATCTTTTTCCATTTTCTTTTTCAATAAGTATTGCTCCTCAATAGTCACTACTCATATCGATCTACAAAATTCTTTGTTCTTTATCAGTACTCCTAAGTGATGAAGGATGTTGAGATATCTGCTCTAGATACTAGACAACCTTAGTCTGATTGATTCTTCAAGATGGTAGATTTTTTCGTAATAGCCTAGACAACAGGCTAGTATGATTGGACACGTGAGGAATAAAGTCCCTGATGTAACAGTCACACCCCCCCGAGCCCACTGCTGCGAGTAGTGATGGTACCAGGTTCAGCCTCAACCTCGCTATGTAGGAGAGGTTGGAGGATCGAACCTGGGAAGGCTCCCTTAGCGCAGTAGGTGCGGGGAATAACCCATGAACTACCATGGGGAAAGCCGGCTAGGTTGCCGTGAGGTAGCACGGCCCAGTCCACCACTCGCAGCAGTGGGCTCGGGGGGGTGTGACTGTTACATAAAAGGCGCCTTTTATGTAACAGTCACACCCCCCCCCGAGCCCACTGCGCTAAGGGAGCCTCCCCAGGTTCGATCCTCTAACCTCTCCTACATAGCGAAGTTGAGGCTGAACCTGGTACCATTGAGTGCAGTGGGCTCGGGGAGTGTGATTGTTACACCTGATGTAGTTTACAATTCTCAAGAACTGTTGAATTTGAATCACAAATAAATTTTCACCTGAAAAATTCAATAATTCTTGAGCAATATGTGGACTGGGCTAGTATAGTCCATTTTGGATGATTATATCCAAGAATTCTATTTAGGTTGCACCCATGTGACCTTTTGCAAGCCAAAACCATAATCCCATATATTTGGATTATCTTAAAGAATTGGGCTAATAGGTCTTTATGCTCCTATTCAGTCTCCAAAAACAATAATATATCACCAATATACACTAGAATATTATTGAGGATGGGCTTAAAGATGTGGATCATAGCCTTCTGGAATAGTGATGGAGCGGTCTTAAATCTAAATAGCATTATTGTCCATTGGTACTGGACATTAGGAATACAAAAAGCCCTCTTATAATGATCTGTTAGACCAATTCCTAGCTTCCAAAATCCTATTTTAAGATCAAATTTTGAGAATATCTTGGTTCCATTTAAATGAACTAACTGAGTGTCAATCTTTAGTAACAGAAACTTATTATCTTAAAGAAAAGAATTGAGAGGTTTATAATCAATAACCATGCTTTTCTTTCCTCCTTGTTTTTCTGCTCTCTTCTCAACATAGAATACTTGGCAAGCCCTATCTGATTTGGTTAGTTCTATGCATCCTTGAGCACTCTTGTCATGCTAATGCAAGATCTTCTGGATAATACCAGCCTAATCCACATATTGCTTAAGAATTACTAAACTTTCTAGATGAAAATCATTTGTGGTTCAACTTTAACAATTCTTAAGAATCATAAACTACATTAGGGACTTTATTCCTCATGTGTCCAATCACACTAGCCAATTATCCAAGCTATTACAAAAAAATCCTCCACCGTGAGGAATCAATCAGACTAATGTTGTCTAGTATCTAATGCAGATATCTCAACATCCTTCACCACTTAGGATTCCTGATAAATGATAAAGAATTCTTTAGACCGATATGAGTGATGACTCTTGGGGAGCAGTGCTTATTGAAAAGGAGAATATGAAAAGATATTATTGCGATCATACTAACAGAGCATTCAAAACCTTTAAAAAGCATTATCACATAGCTT